AAAAATCTGTTCATATTAATTCCCTAATAAGCATAATAATTCATAATTTTTTGGTTCTAATCACATTTCAATTAAACTTGGAGACATAGATTTTCTGTTACATTGCGCAGACCTCATTAGTTTTACACTCAAATCTGGTCATATTAATTTTCTGATTTGCATAATTAGTTTTCAGCTAAGTAATTTCGAATTATATTTAATGTGTCTCCAATACTCTCAGCACATGGGAGTTCTTTCTAAGCTTTCTTTGATTTTAATTAAAATCAGTTTTTCTCTATTTATATACTCACTGCATTGTAATATGAAAATATATAAACTGGCAATTTAGTTAATTATCATCAAAGTTATTTCATGTGTTTTGATAGAATCCTGGTGAAGCGAATAATGACGAAATTGAAGCCGCCAAGTTAAGAGGAGATAATGAGTACAGGTTTGCAGCTGGTCGATACCATTACATTTTGAACTTCAGTAAAATGCAGCAACAGAACCAAGATGAACACTATAAGACAACTAGAGATGTAAGGCGTCGACCTGTGTATGTTGGTAGCGATGCCGTGAAACAGATTAAAAGGTATAAAATCTATGATGGCTATATTTCTGATTTTTATAGCTTCTCAGGAAGAACACAAATGTGTTTGCGTTGATGTATGTTTCAAATCTTGTTCTACCAATATTTCAGGATACTTTTCATAAATACTTGTCACGTGATCGAGTTCATGACTGGCAGACAGGCTATTTTCATCTTTTTTTTTGCATGTTTCTGCTCATCTGAAATTCACATTGTCTAATTAGGTCCAAATTCTTGCACCTCAACAAAAGTTTATTTGTATCACAATCCATTGCAAGGAATATAGTTTGAGTGTCTATAGTTTTGCACAAATTCTGCTTAAATATCAAATTCTAATGGTCCAGAATTAGGTTCAAAACTGGATACAAGCGTATTTCTTTGTTTTTTGTTGAATTTCAGTGTATTTTAATTTTAGTGTTTTAGTGTGTCTTATTTTATTTGTCTTTTGTAATCATTTTTTACCTTACTAAACCCACAGATGGTTAAGTTGCGTAATAAAGTTATTATTATTATTATTATTATTATTATTAATAACAAATTATCTGTATTTGTCTTTTTTGCTCAATTCTGTTATGTCTCAAATTCACACTGTCGGGGTCCAAATTTTGTACACAGGCAATTATTCGCTAGCACATTAATAAAAGTTGGTTTGTGTCATATGATTCAATCCAAGACTGGCAGCCATTTTGTTTTACATTTTGCCAACATAGACATAGAGATTCAGACCTCGCTGTTATATTGTATTATATTATATTATATATGTTACGTCACAAAAAAGAACTGAGAAAATATTGAAGTACGAAAACAGGGGTGTGACTGTGATATTCTCAATGTCTTGTTTATTCTACATTTTGGTAATTCGGTTTTATATCTAGCCTAGGTACCTGCTCTAGTATTCCCTGAAGACTTGATTAGTGTTTGATTGAAATCAGTGTATGTTAAGTTTCAAATTTGCATACCAATTAGCATATTTTTAGCATGTTTTAAGACTTTTCCACTGATATCTCAAATACCACTTGGCAGATTTCAAGTTAACTGTATTCAAATACCTCAGAATAATTAGTGAACTTTCATAGTTTGGGGTAAAAACTTATTAATAATTTACATCTTAAATATATGGCAGAATAGTGGTGTAAAATAATATTGTTTCGTTTCAGAATCATACATTGGCCTCAGTAAACAGTTATTGTGTTAACAGTAATGGGCTGAAAAAATATGGGGTAGACAGGAACTTATAATTATTTTACCCAATTACATGTACTTTTAGATTATTGCTAGAAATTAAATTTCCACATTACATTTAGTTTTCACCAAAAAAAAAGCAAATGAAATAACCACACAGTTTGTATAAAAAATAAATACTTTCAAACTAATTTTTTTATGTATGTCGTGTGTTACTATAGAAATACAGAATTATATTATTTATCACACTTTTCTTCCCTAACAATCTAATAACCAACTCACTCTTTTTCAGGTCACCAAGGCACAAGATACCCACATTGGTGGAAAGTACTTGTACAGGATTACCTTCTAATTGGGAGGTAATGCCTGCAGGAAAAGACCTTGCTCAGTATCACCTCAGTCCCGGGTCAAGAGATTTCCAGAGAGTTGAGGACTTGTTCAGAAAGACCATGCCATCATCTAACTCTACAATTGTAAGAATAGAAAGGATACAGAATATGGAGCTCTGGGAACATTATCAATCGTAAGTCCTTCACAATTACTTAGGATTTGGTTTAAAATTAATCTATGTTAAAAATTTTTAGCCACTATTGTGAAAATTAGGATTAACTGATCTATCTATCTGTCTGTCAATCGGTTACACATATTATTATGTGTCTATTTGTCTGGGTACACACCAGGCTTTGTTACAAGATCCGTTGAATATGACTGACTGGCAGCCATTTTAGTTGCAAAAAAATAGCATTTGAATTAAAGGATGATGTTCGTCATCACACCATGTATGCGCAAGATGTGGGTTTCATAGTAACAAAGATGGCAGCTTTGATTGTTGTGCAGATTAACGCATAAAAACAGGTACCATATGGTTTAACAAGGTATAATTTCCTAGGATGATTGGAACACATAAAAGAACTTTTGAAACATAAAAAAGTCCAAGTTGATATTACCGGATATTATTTGATATTATTTCTGAAGTTGATATTACCGGTAGTATTACACGGCCAGATCAAATCATGCATGTATGCTTGCCACGAGTAGATTCAACCACATTGGGTTGTGGGAAAATCTCTGCTTATCATAAATTGTGTTTGTGCATGTACATGTAATGCCTATTGCTCTTTAAGTATTATTTTGTATCATATTCTGCAGCACCCAGATACAACTGGTATGCTAGTATGCATGTATTGTACAACTTCATGTAACTTTTATGCACATGATATTATGTTGCAGATCCGATCCATAATGGCCAAACCATATTTCTGACATTTTCCTTCTTTGTACCTACATGTATGTAGATATGGTGCATATGCTATGATACACACATACACATATACATTTTTGGCGGTCCACTGCTAGTAACAGCACTTCAAAAGCTATATAACCACATATTACACAAAGGACAATACCCAGATACTTGGAACATAAATACAATCACTCCAATCCATAAGAAAGATGACCCCTTAAATCCTGGGAATTATCGAGGCATTTCTACTAGCAGCACCATCGGGAAGCTATTTGCAATGATTATGAATAACAGAATATACAGATATTTAGAAGACAACAATATTATTCATAAAAATCAGGCAGGATTTAGAAAAAAAGCACCGTACTGTCGACCATATTCTAACACCACACACCATGGTAAAAAAATACCAATCAAAGAATAAAAACCTGCATTGTTGCTTCATCGATCTGAAAAAATGCTTTGATACAGTGTGGAGAACTGGTCTGCTATACAAATTACAAAGGAACAACATTAACAGCCATATATACAAGATAATCAAAAGCATGTACAGCAACATTATTTTCCCTGTAAAACTGAAAGACGCAATTACACAAACCTTCAAGACTGATAATGGAGTAAAGCAAGGATGCCCACTCAGTCCAACATTTTTTAGCATTTTTATCAATGACTTGGTCGAATTGTTAAATGTCACTGCAGTTGATCTTGACAACCGGAACTTGACAACCAACCAATATCAAGCCTACTATTTGCCGACGATATTGTACTCGCCTCGACATCGAAGACTGGTCTGCAGTCATCACTTGACAACCTTTATAACTACACCAATAAATGGGGACTGGAAGTGAACACGATGAAATCAAAAATTCTAATATTCTCAAAAAACAGCCACAAAACAGATGTATCATCATTCAGATATGGTGACACTACAATGGACAAAACTGACAAATTCACGTACCTGGGTGCAACTTTTAGCTCAAATGACTCCTTAATCAACACCATGGACATGGATAAAGCAAGGAAAACAGAGTATATGCTAGCAAACATTTACAAGAACAATACAAAATTATTTGAAACAGTCCAACTGCCAATACTTCTCTATGCATCTGAAATTTGGGGAATAACATTTAAATTAGACAAATGGGACAAAACAGAAACTGAAAAATACCACATAAAATACTGTAGACACATTCTAAATGTTAACAATAGAACAAGCACAATTGGTTGTAGACTTGAACTCGGGAGATTACCATTAATCTCAAAAATACAGCTACAATCTGTTAAATATTACCAAAGTATTAGGAACAATGGTCCTATCAGTTACACATACCATGCAGTTAGGGAACTTGAACAACATTGTTATAAAGACTCATGGATTGAAGGCATACACAAAATTTAGGACATTTACAATATAAACCCCATTACCATACCAACAAATCATTCTTAGAGAAAA